GTCCTTGTTGCGTGAGCTTGTACTCCCGGAGTTATTGCTGGTTTACGCGGCATAATAGCCCGCACTTTGCTGCCACTAGTTTCGACGCGGTTTTAAGTAACAGGAGTTATCTGAGCCCTGCAGCGAATTTCTACTACTTGTGAACATTCGAATTTTTAGTTTAGTTCTGTGATTTCAGTTACTGCTCAGGGAAGGCGTAGTATGTTAACGTCGAGTTGACTCATTGTAAATTTTAAAGAGTTAAATAAAGGGTACTTTCAACCCTTCTGTGTAGTTCCTACAAAAACTCACTACACATACAGTTGTCACTTAGAAGATAAGCAAGTGGACCCTACAACCTACACAAATCAACAGAAGTATAGTGACATCAATTTCAATTGTATTGGTATCAACATATTTCAATTGATATGCATTGCAATTTACAAGTTTAATACTGCAATTTTCTCTTACTAGTAAAGAAAAGCAAGCAGAGATCAATAAAAACCAGTAGATGGTAATGGTAAATATTATGGCGCACAACTTGGGCAGATGATTAGATCCCAATATGACCGAGAACCCAGCAGTACAGAACTTGATAGCTATGCAACTTGTAAACTTAGATTTTGCGCATCAGTGGTTTGAAGATTCAGTGGTTATCCAGCTTTCTAATATGTATAGTGGTTCAGTAAACATAATGTTACATCAAATTTGAACAAATCAACAATCAATAAAATATAAATTGATTTAATCAAATATGATAATATCACAATCTCAGAAATCTCACATCTTCCATCAACTAACTGAACACACCCAATGGCACTCTCGGCGCCCTCTAGCGTTACGCGGGTCTTACTGTTCTCTTCGCTTAAACTCCCATGGAGTTTACATTTCAATTTTCAGATATTCAGATAAAATTTAAAGCAATAAAATTACACTAAAATAAATGTTAAATTGGTAAATTATTAAAATATATAAAATAAATTTTTTCAAGTTCATATCATTCAGTCTGTAAATGGTAAGGGAATGACTTTGTTGATGGTTCGCCGAAGAACACCTGTAGATGTCTTAACTTCAACTACTCTGACCAGACCATCAGTACCAGGGATGCGACCCAATGGCCAATGCAAAGGATTGGAGTTGGGAGTCCTTTAGTAGTACTAGTTGACCAATCTGTATGTTCGGCTGCGAAATGCTCCATTTAGCATGATTCTGTAGTTGATTTAGATACTCTGAATGCCACCGGTTCCAAAATTTAGCTTGGAGTCCCTGAATTAGTTTCCACCTGGAATGGAAAAAAAAAAAAAAAAAAAAAAAGAGAATCCGAAGCAGTATGTGGTTCAGGAAAAATAACATAGCATTTCCTGTCAAAAAATGTCCCGGAGTTAAAGGCTGTAAGTCATTCAGATCGAAAGAAAAGCGGTAATAATGGGCGAGAACTCAGAACTGCTTCTATATGAGTAACTAAAGTAGTTAACTCTTCAAAATTCATGATAGCTGATTCTGCTACCCTTAACAAAACCCGCTTCACTGATTTTATGTTTGCTTCCCACAGTCCGCCAAAGTGTGGAAAAGCTGGTGCGATACATTTCCATTGGATGTCTTCTTCTGCACTAAATCCTTGAATTGGGTTTGATTTGCAAATTTCATTATATGCGTTAAGAATATTTCTTGCACCTTTGAAATTCGTGGCGTTGTCGCTCCAGATGTCGTAATGAGAGTGAGCTGGAGGGGTAGTCAAGTGAAGCTAGAATTCTTACGCCTCCACAGACACGATCACCATCAGAGCTACCTTTCTTGTTTAAGCAACATTTCTTAACTTGATGTTCTAATTTCAACAGAGTTTCCTAGACTGCCTGGCACACAGGATGAGAAACATCGATCAGATGTTTGACGTTGACGAGATTTTGGTGGTAACCCTGACAGTTCAATGATATGAGAGTAGCCATTATGAATGATGTTTACTCTTTCTGTGCTGCGTTTTGGTTTTGCATGGAATTTTGGGAATTTCTTACCCTTGCTCTACTTTCATCTTATCTAAATAAAGGAGTTTGAAATCATTTTATCAAATGAACTATTACAGACACTTCTTTGTTTGTTGCTTTTTTGGTGAGTTTTTTTTTTTTTATTTGTTTGGACCATTGCTTCTGTTTTCTGTATTGCATGAGTTGGTTTGGACACCCATCACCAGGATAGTGATATCCGTCTCACTGAGATGATGATCTCTTGAAGGGCTAGGGTACCTCGGGATTCCCACACTTGTACTGACAAAAAGTGAACCCCTGAGGGGAGACAAACCAGTAGAAAATTTTACTTGTTTATATGGAGTATTTTGATACCTGTGAGAAAAACTAATAGAGATAAATAGAAACCAGCAAGCAAAGTTTTTTAAGTGCTTTTGCAAGAAACACAGTTTCAAATACAGAAATAGTTTTATTTTAGTCCATCTGTTGTTTATCCAAATTTCAAGTACGAGTACTTGAATTCGCTCATTTTTTTAGAGTTAATTTATGATTATTATTATTTCTTTTTTAGAGGATCTTATTATTTTCTATAAAATGAAAATCACAGAAAATTTTCTTCTGCAAAAGCAAGCGTTTTTAATACAACAACAGCAGTAACTTAGTCATGGGAATGGGAAGCATATATCTACAGTAATAATTTTTCACGAATTTCCAAAAGGCTCCTTTTGGCACATATTTAATGTAATTCAAGGAGTTGCCGTTCTCAGTGAGGGCTGTAGATTGTTTTGGATACAATGTAGAAAATGTTACGGATTATTTTCATCAAATACCACAAAATAATTGTAAAAATTTGAGGTCCAGATATAGTTTCTGAAAAATTCAAATCTTTCCATTCATTGCAGTTGCTTAGCATGATAAAATTAATCCTATAAAAATATTGTTTATGGAAATGCAAGCCTCCAATTTTATGGCATTGCTGTTCCAGCCATTCAACAGGTTAAGTTTTTTTTAATAGTATAACAATAGAATTAATATTATTAAATATTGGTTGCCTGGATGACAGACATTTTGATTTGATTCAGCTCATTAATTTGTTGTATTGCAGAGGCATATTCATTGCTATGTGGTGAATACACACCAGTTTCCCTTGGAAACACCTCTACAAAGGCATTTCCCTTCTCTTAGGTAAATAACTTTTGTAGCTTTGCTGCATTCGTATAACCTAACCTAGCCTTTGCTGTGCATTACTATTAATGAATGCATTCTGCTCAAAATCCCATTTAAAGAATTCAGCAAACAAAACCAGACGGTTGTATGACTCATGATAAGTTCCATTTCTTTATTCTTGAAGAGAAAAACTTGTTTATTAGTTAAAATGGACTACTACAATTTTACAGACTTTTTCCCTTGAGTAATACAAGAGATCTTCAGCTGTTTTTTAACATTTATGAAATGCTAGGCTGTATTAAAAGAGAAAATTCAAAATTTAACTTTAAATCTGCTTTCTACTACTAAGTGGGAATGAGGAACTGTAGCCAGTATGACTGCTTAAAAGAAATATTAAAGAAAGTTAAATTGTTGTTTTAGATAATGTGGTAGATAATTCTTAAGATTAATCAGTTAAGCTGATAAAATAATTTCAAGTTTTTCATTTACATTTGTTTACTCAATTGATATTTGATGTGACAAATTAGGTACTATAAATAGTAAAAGCAAAATGATGAACACAATATTTAATATACAGAAACTCTAAATCTTATTAAGGATTTTAAGGAAGGAACAACATTCTGGAAATGTTATTAATTCTGTAAAAGAAGCAGGAAACAATCTTAACACTGAAAACCTTCTTCAATTAATTGACAAATTATATGCAATAAAAAGGATGTGGTGGTGTATTTAATTATGGCAAAGCACACGAGGGCTATCTGCCTAAGAGGAGGGATGCCTTTGTGGAGGACTTTCTACGGGAAACTGGCTCGTATACACGTTACACATGGGGAAAACCACGAAAACACCCATGCAGCCAGCCCGTTCGCGGGATTCGAACCTCGGACCGAACTACCAGTGTTCAGCGACTTTACCGCTCAGCCGCTGGTGGGTGCAACAAAAAGGAAAAAATGAATGAGATGAACTTTTATGAAGAGAAAGAAACACAGAAATGTTCCTTTCTGACAAGATACAAATGGGCAATCTTTTTTTTTTTTTTTAAATAAAATATTTAACAATAGAAGAAATTTTTGAAAATATTTTCTTTTGTTTAAAAGTGAAAATTTGATTGGATAAGAAATCCATTTGTTTTTTCCATTTACTCTTGCACAAGTTTTACACTGATTGAAAAATTGATATTTTGATGTTAATCTCTTTAGATCATGAATTAAAACTGAAGTTTATAGAAAATAATCCTATGAAAAATTCTGGATCTTGGTAAAAATAAAAAAAGTTGGATCTGGGAAGGAGGGAAGCAGGTTTCCACACCATATTTTTATGAAGCAGGATTTTCAACAATAGTTAATATTAAAACAAAGAAATTTCGGAAATTTGGAAGATGAAAATATGTCTTTATCATTAATTATTCCCATTATTGATGAAATTTGCAAAGATTACTAAGCTCATCTACTGCAGTAAATTTGAGAATTTTTGAAGGACTTTAAATATTTAAATAAATATATTTGCATCAATCAGTATCAGTATATTAAAGTGATAGTACTAGAAGGGGGGATGCCCAACTCTGCACTCACAATGTGCCCACTACATGATTTCAGTTCACTTCCCTTCAATAACAAAGCTATTTTTCCGAGCAATGTCTCCCCCCCCCACTGTACCCTTGATTTAAAAAAAGTTGGCCATTGCTGCTTTAAAGCTTATGTTATATTGTAAATATTCCACAACTTCTAAAATATTAAGAGAAAGGCTGAAGTATATAGTAAATGTATGAAAAAGAAATCTGGTAATATGATATAGCTTATAGACTTTCATATTTTCTTATTTTTCAAGACTAATGGCATCAATAATGTTTTATATATTTGCATTTATTACGATTTCATGAATAAAAAGAAAAAATAATTATTATATAACTTTAATAAGTTAATATACAATTTGTACAATTTTTCATTTAATGATTCTTTTTCTTTTTTGCCTGTCTCATTTTCCTTTTCATGCCAATAACTGCTCCTCGTTTTGCAGCTTTTACAATATTTTTGAACTGTCCTTTTAATTTTACTTGTTTCCTATAAAATATGACAGAAAGGATAAATTAAAACCACACTCATTAATACTATAGCTATCAAATAAAACTAATGTAACATAATGAAACTGTACACATACCTTTTATTCAAAGCCTGTCTATTGAGAGGTATGTATGCATATGGGTCAAATTTACCTTTTTTTACATCACCACCAGCTTTCTATAAAAGAGAATGCATAATTACAGTTATAGTATCTAAAATTATAGCATTAATTTCCCTTACCAGAATATAAAATAGGATTAAGTTAAGTACAATTTATAGAGAATAAAGGTCATGTACTAAGGCCATAAGAGACAAAGGGTACTTTCCTGATTATTAAATTAAAGAAATACAAGTTCTAACTCTTTTATTATTCTTATTACATTACTGAGCTTTGACTAAGAAGATTCACTATGCAAATTATTCAAAATTGGCTTTATACTTATAAAGATCTTATCTAACAATTACTATTCAACTTTTCATGCTTCATAGGAAGCACAAAAGCTTTGTGGACAACTACCATGGAGGACATAAATGCACCTAAGAGAAGAGATGCCATGTGTGGGTAGTGGAAGACAATTATTTGCAGCAAGCTCCAGTTCCATAGTTGTAATGGCAAAACTCCCCTTCTATCTACAAAAATGTTAAAAGGAAGAGTACAGCTGAAACTAAATGATAATGCAAGAAGGCTAGCACCACACATTAGAACAGTCTTACCCCAGAAAATATCTCAGTAGATTAAATCATTTCTGATTTTAGTAGATTAAATTATGAACACTGCCATGCAGACTATTACAAAAAGTATTAATCAATATAAATTTTTTAAAAAAGATGTAATGCAAAGAACCTTATAGAATTTGTGTTCAAGAAAAGTGGTAGACTTCAGTATTAAAGAGAGCAGACATGTAACATTTAAAAAAAAAAAAATATTGCTTCACATTAAAATATTTACCACCAGATTGTTTTCATTTTGTTTTCCAAGGAAGTATCAACGTAAAAAAAAGGGGGGGATTTTTCCTTTTGATTGGACAAATCACTTGGATTAAAAATAATTTTACTGTAAATGATACAATAGCATTTAAAAATTAAAATACATACATGCATTTTCGTTCTTTAACTAAGTGTACACTGAAATAGTAGATACTGTTTCATGAAAAATTTCTAAATTAATATACTGTAAACGATGCAACATCCAACAACTGAAATATATAAGAAAGATATTCATTTTTTCTGCCAATTAGAAAACAGTACAGTAAATTTTTAAGCTAACACTGTTTTTTACAATATACTAGTATTCAGAGAATATATTTGAATGGATGCAACATGATTTAAAATTAAAGTCCTTATGTGACCATTATTTTTTTTATCAAAGATATACGCTGTGAACTATAAAAATGATTTAAATGACGAAAATGTTTATGTTACAGCACTTTTAAATTTAAAAAACACATTTTGTTGAAACTAAACAATTTAACTTTTTGAACAGTTCCCCTAGTTCTGATAATTACAATTAGTTAAAAAGTTAGCAAAACAAAGTACAAAAACATAATTGCCAAACAATAAAAATTAACCAAAGTAATCCAGTTTTAAAGTTTGATATCATGTTTGGGAGTTGTACACAAACTGAAGAAAGAAAAGTTTGCATTTATCCAAAGCTAAATATAAAATATCAGTTTACAGAAAAGTTTCTGATCTCAGTAGATTAAATCATGAGCATTGCCATGCAAACTGCCATTAAAAACATTGATGATTATAAATTTTTTCAAAAAGATGTAACGCAGAGAACTTTGTGGTAGATTTCAGTGTTAAAGAGAGTAAACATGTAACATTATTTGCTTTAATTAAAAATGAAAAATATTTCTAGTTTAATATATTTTTTGAATGTTTGTTTGCTTTTGTTTGAAAATGATCTACAACACCGCTTCTCAAATTGTGGTACATTACAATATTTTTAGTAGTAAAATTTTTACAGAAAAAAATTAAATGAATGCTCAAAATGAATGTAAAATTGTGCCCCTTTTGACATATTTTTTTAATCTTTATTATTCAGAAACGTATATTTTTCAAGTTTTTGACTTTTATACTCTAGCATGTGTAAATAAATGTAATTAAAGTTAATCTTCTTTAAAGAATTAAAATGAATCTGGAAACTAATGAAAGCATAAATGAAGTTCTAAGAAATTCAATTGAAACTTTACTTTAAAAACAGCAAAGAAATAACAGATCTGATGCTAAATGATCAAGTGAAAAATGAGTATTGTGAGAAGTAAGATAAAATTTTGGTGATTATTAGGCAAAGATTTATACTACACAGCTAGTAGACACACTTGATGAATGTGAAAACACTTATGCAAGCTATCAGAAGATAATTAGAACAGCTTTAAAGCTGATGAAAATATTGCAATATCACTCCCCTCCCCAAAAGAAACCTACCACAACATAAAACTATTCTTAATAACCAAAAATTCTGAACAGTTTCAACTCAGCCTTGGAAATCTGAAGCATTGAAACATATCTACAAATCTAATTGTAATTCAGATGGCACAGAAGGACATAATTCTTGATTTTGTTCCACCAAAAACAAAAAGAAGAAAAATCAATGAAAATGCTCCATATTGTGAAAATTTTAGGATAAGGCCAGTCCTCCTCCATGGCAAAATAACAGCTCTAATAAAAACAGATAGTGAATGAAAAGAACACTTATGAACTTGATTTGTAAAATATTAGGTGAGAAAAATTGTTTTCAGAAAAATAATACACTTAGGTGTTTAAATTTCAATAATACTCAAGACTTTATTATGTATGCTTTCCATAAAAGAAAAGGATGGTTTAAAATAATTTCATAAAAACCATGACCCGGAGTCTATAACAATGGGCCTGTGTTCTTTTCAGTTATGAATCAAATTTGAGTTTAACATCTAAATATGGTTATAGTTGGTGCAGTCAGAAGATGAAATATTTCCAGCAATATCAAGCAATATAGCAGTTAAAATGGTATACAAGTGATGGTATTGCGAAAAATAATTTCAATAGATATATTTCATAGCATGTGTTCATCAGAGTATGTAATTTAAATTCTACAAGCTTCACATAAAGCTTTTGAGAACTACATATGGATGCAGCTTTTTATGGAGATAATATACTGGTTATTAAAGTTAAAAGATAATGAGAAAAAATATGCTCAGAAAGTTAATGTTAAACCAATGCCCAATACGGTGGAGTGAAAAAGGCAACTTCCCCCCTTCAAATTTTATTATTTCCTCACCCCAACAATTGGTTCTGTCTCCCCCAAATTCTTTTGCAGTTTGGTCGCTTGTAATCTTCCGAACTTACCTCCTTTTCTGCGTAACAATGGTGGTAACACTTTGTGTAATAATATCTGCACTTTACTCAGAACCAGAGTTACATCTCCTATATAAACAGAACCAGGTCTGAAAAGAGAAAAATATGCTCTTTCTCAGCTGTAGTCCTGTAATTTTGCTTCTTCTTATACACTATAGTTTTGTCCTTCCTCCCATAAAACTAGATGGCATACAAAGACTGTATTATTGGTGTAGCCATTGATTGAAGCTGGGCCATACCTTACAACTTTTTTCTCTGTAGCTTACTCCCATCAATAGCTTTAGCTGGAGTATCTTTAGAGCTGGAGTAACTTTAGTTGGATTTTTTTTTCCCAGAGGAACATACCTGAGGGAACTTAACTAGGGTATGGAGCTTTTCTTCCAAATTCTTGAAATGTCACAGAAAACAATTTTGGTAATGTCTCTGACTGACGCGTCTTATTCCCTTTCCACAATAACTCATTTCTGGCCCACAGCAAATGCTTTATTACATCAGTATACGTGGGTAAAAATGTATCTTCAAGTTGTAATGGAGCTCCAAAAACATTACAAAAATATGCACTTCTACGAGGCGTATTCGGAAACTACCGTATTTTTCGCCGTATAAGACGCGCCCAATTTTAAAGGAGGCAAATCTAGAAAAAAAAGATTATGAACCAAATTCTGTAGTAAAATATTTTATATCAACTGTATAAAGTTAACAGCAGTTTAAGAAAAATTTTATGTCAACCATGTAACATACTAAGAGCTATCTTTACTCTCATAAACAGTCAGCAAACAGTGAAAGTAACAAAAATAAGGCTGTCATGTTTTTATTCTAACCCCAAGAATTCCTCTTCTTCGCTGCTATCAGAAATGAGGAAGGACAGATCCACGCAGTCATTGTCATCACTTTCTTCCTCACTGGTGTCAAATAAGACGTCGTCTTCTGTTCCATCCAAGGCATTACTAATGCCACACTTCTTGAATGATTTTACAACAATGTCTTTCTTTATGGAGTCCCATGACCTTTTAACCCATTCACACACTTGTGTGATAGTATTCCTTTGGCATTTTTTGTGCAATTCTGGTTTTGGTGCGCATAGAAAGGCCAAATCTCTTCATAAATCTATAGCACCACGATGGTGATCCGGTGAAATCCTGAATGCCTTTCTCCACAGCAATGCGTTTGGCCTCATAGATTATCATTTTTGTTGAGACAGAAAATCCATTTTGCCGGTGACGTGTGATCCACTCCTTTACTTCTACCTCTAACTCTGGCCACTTTGCAGTTGGTCCACGCAAGGTGTGCTTGCTTTTATCCAACTTTTGGAGCTGATCCTCCTGTTTCCTCCACTCTCTTATCATTTTCTCAGTTGGAGGTGGCCCAAAGTGTCTCTCCGCTGCTCTGTTTCCATGCTCCTTAGCAAATTTTATTACTTCCAGCTTGAAAGCAACTTTATATGCCAGTCTCTTCTGCTTCGACATCTTGATGGGGTGGTATGAAATATATGATATATTTCATTCAAATATACCATACTACATATATCACAGCTCACAGCTATCCGTGCCTCCGCTTGCTCCCGCACTACGATTGGCTGAGCGAAGAGACCTTCACCCGCTCCCGCGCTGGCTTACAAGACTAAAAAGTGCACAAAGCCAGCGCGGGAGCGAGCGAAGGCACGCGCCTTTTCGCCCAGCCAATTGCAGCGCGAGGCAGAGACCGTCCAAACACAGTGCGAGGCAGAGCGGGGCTTCCTGGTCTCAGACGGCGCCAAGAGGTGGAAGGGAACGGAGTGGCCGAGTATTCCTGCGGTAAGGTATATATGCAGAGGTGGAGGGGCAGCGGAAGGCCATGGTGGGCTTTTGTATTTGCCGTATAAGATGCAGGCACTTTTTCCACCCTGATTTTGGGGAGAAAAAGTGCGTCTTATACGGCGGAAAATACGGTAAGTACCATTTTGAAAAAAAAAAAAGTAAAACAATTTTTTCGAATCCAATTTTATTTTTACATGAAAATACATGTCTTAAACTATTTTTCAACATAGTTTCCACCAATGATCAAACACTTGTCATAGCGGGTGACCAGTTTTTGTATACCATCGTCAAAGAAACTTCCCGCCAGTTTCGATAACCACGACTCCAGTGCATTTTTCGTGTAATCGTCAGATCCAAAGCGCTTGCCACCAAGCTCACGCTTCATGTGCAGGAAAAATGATAGTCGGATGGCGGCTGTATGGCGGGTGATCGAACTGCTCCCAATGAAACTGTCGAATTAACGATTGAGTGACACCAGCAGTATGGGGCATTGTCATGGAGCAACACAATTCCTTTACTGAGCATTCTTCTTCTTTTGTTTTGAATGGCACGCCTTAGTTTTGTTAAAGTCTCACAATATCATGTCGCATTAATGGTTTCACTTCTGGGAAGAAATTCAGTAAGCAAAACACTTTTCCTATCCCAGAAGACAGTGCACATGATTTTTTGTGATGACATTGTCACTTTGAACTTTTGTTTTTTCGGAGAATGAGTGTGTCTCCACTCCATCGACTGTTGTTTCGATTCTGGTGTGAAATGACACACCCAAGTTTCATCACCTGTCACAATTTGGTTTAAAAAGTTTTCTCCCTCATCACTGTACCATGTGAGAAATGTCAGGGCACTACCAAGTCGCTTTGTTTAGTGAACATTGGTGAACATTTTTGGAACCCATCGGGAACACAGTTTGCGATGATTTAAGCGGTCAGACACAATTTTGAACAAAACAGTATGTGAAATTTCTGGAAATGCCTCTGAAAGAGTTGTCATTGTGAAGCGTCTGTTCTCATAAATTGCTTCATCAACTTTCCTTACCAAATCATCGGTGACAACAGAAGGCCGACCACTCCGAGCCTCGGCATGGACATTTGTTCAACCTGCATTAAACATTCTTACCCACTTTCTCACCATTCCATCACTTATCACGTATTCACTGTAAACTTCTGTTACTTGACGATAAATTTCGGCCGGTTTAACATTCCTCGTGTTCAAAAATTTAATCACAGCATGAATCTCACAGTCAGCAGGGGAACTAATTGTCTTAAACATTTTGAATGTGCACAGCAAAAATGAAAACACAACATAGAGCAACCAAAATGGCGACAATTGAAAGTCAGTGAACAAGAAAGACTAGCGTGCATGTGCAAGATGCTTATCACAGCGCTGCAACGGTGCTAGAATGAAACGGTACTTAGTTTCCGAATACGCTACATAGTTGGTGTCATCTTTATCCAACATTAACAGTGACTGATATACCAAGACAGACAAAACACACCAAACAACCAACTAATTAACATGTTGACTGCCGTGGGGGTCACCGGTGATGTGACCAATAGTAAAATACATAATTAGAGTAAATATCGATACTGATAAATTTTTAAATAGTACCATTGTTACTATAATGGTTTGAAGAATAATAAATCATAAAAATTTAAAGTATAAATCGCATTAATAATCTACAGCGCCTTGGGGTCACCATGAAAAATGCATTAAGCACAAATTATATAACTCACATTATCTTCTGTAGATAACATTTCAACATAACATACATCGCATAATGAAAATTTCAAGTTGGCGTCATGGCCAAACCACGTCAAATGCACGCGGCAGTCAACGTGTTGACAATAAAAAGTCTTAAAGACCATGGAAGTCACACGATTGCTTATCCCAGGTTAGAACCAGTAGTCAGATTAGTATCTCTTCTGCTCTCTAGTAGGATATTTTGGAATTAAAATTTCATATTTTGGTGTGGGAAATTTCTCATGCTAATAATGGCATTTTTCACAAAGCAATTAATGAAAAATGCATAAAGCATCAAAAATGTCAGTACAGATATTCACTTGGGGTGTGGAACTTCAAAATGCCAATATTTTGGGCTGAAATTTGAACTCAATTTGTTCTAGCTCATTTGGAACTATATAATGACATAGGCAATTTGAATTACATAAAGTTTTCAATGCCCAATGCTGTAATTATTTTCAAAGGCATAATTTAAGTGACGGTCAAAAGCTGCAAATAATTGATAGAATCGAGGAAGGTGAAACACAAATGGAGGTCATCCAAGATTTGAATATTTCTCAAAGTGTCATATCAAGAGTTTAGGGCCACTTTTTTAGCACTGGATTAGTTTATAGATAGCCTGGTTAAGGGCAACCAAGAGCAATAACTGCATCAGAAGACTGTTTTCTGTTACTGTCAGTTTGAGAAAACTGTGAAGCAACTACAAAGTATTTGGTTTTAGACCTTCAGGCAGCCATAGGAACTCAAAAAAGCCATTCTACTGTTACACGAAGGCTTAATGAGGTTGGACTACATGTGAGAAAAATCAATGGCTTGTGTTCCACTCACTTCAGATTTCAGAGGGGGCTGTTTAAATTATCTCTGTTGTCATGTTCAGTGGAGCCAAGAAGATTGGGCCTGAATACTGTTTACCGACGAGTCCAGATATAGTCTGAACAGTGATTCTAAACATGTCTTGATCTGGACAGAGTAAGGAAAACACAACTTGCCTTCTCTTGTCCATGAAATATCTCATTTCTGAGGCCGTGGTTTAATAGTCTAGGGATGAATCATGATAAATGGCCACACCAAGCTGCATATCTTTCGAGGAGGTTCTGTAACCACTTGGGACATATGTGACGAGTCATTGGAACCCCAGGTTAGTCCATTTAGGCATGCTGTTGGCCTGAAGTTTTTGCTAATGGATGACAATGCTTGGTTTCATCAAGCATACATAGTGTTAGAATACTTGCAAACACAGGATATGACTAGAATGGATTGGCCACCTTACTCACTCGACTTCAACCTTACTGAGCATGTCTGGGATTCCTTACAGTGGCGAATTTTAGTGCGCCAAATTCCTCCCAGGACCCTTCAGGAGTGCTGAAAAGTGCACTTTTAGAAGAGTGGTGTGCAATTCCACAAGATGTTATCAACACTTTGGTAAAGTCTTTGAAATCAAGACGTGAGGTATGCATAGCTACCTGAGGTGACCATACACCCTATTAAAGAAACATTTTCCCACAAGAGGTGACTTATTTTTCCTTCATTTTCCAATTTCCAAAAATGTGGTTTTAATTTCAATATTTTGTGAATAATCAAATGCCAAAGATTGAAGTTTAAATTAACTGATGCTGTTGTACAAACTTCTATTAATAATTTTTCATCAAGTGTCATTAGTTTTCATCAAGTTTTATTTCTGTCATTATCCTTTAATTTTGATGACTAGCATATAGTAAATTATAATTGATTATCTTCTCAAAAGCTGAATCTTCAAAACTTTGATTTTTATCTAACTTGAAAATTATAACTGATTTTTTAATTTCATTGTTTTTTAAAGCACTACGAATTAGATAAAAACACACTAAGTTTAATTTTTTACATAATATGCTTGTTTTTGATATGCTTCTCAACTCTTCTTTGAAATAAATTTCAAATTACAAAAATCATAGTTTTGATAGTATCGCTTTATCTGGCCAACCATGACAACTGGCAAGAATTACTGGGCAAAGTGCTGTGCTTCAACAGTAGGCAATCCAGGTTTTATGTATACGTATTTATTTCGCAGCCCATTAATGGTTGTACTTGCACATTTTGCCATTACCTAGCTTGGTAGTGGTTGTAGTAATTTCTGCAGTTTTGAAATTGAAGGCTCATGTTTGAGGTTTCTGTTTGCTTTCAGAAATGGGCGTGTGTGGAATTCCCCCCTTGTAACAAAGTGTAGTGTAATTGTGTGCCTGCTCTTAAAAAAATTGCAAAAGCACACATTCCATGAAGTTAATTTGTGCAATTCTATAATGTTTGTTAAGTTGAAACAGGTAGATGTGTACATGGAGAGCAGGGTCAATTTGTCTGCAATGCCTAGAACTTCACAATTTTTTATTACAGTTTTTGAAGTTAAAACAGATTGCTGTACCTCCAGACAGAAGACTCAGGAAATAGAAAGTTAAGTGTTTATTATGGGTGTGTTGTGTTTTTAACGTATTTAATTTGTTACTCTTTCATTATGGATGTTTCTTGAATTTTTAATTTCAATAATTCATTGCTGTTTTATGTAATTTTCAGCATGGTGCCATTTTTTTAAAAATGGCTACTGTTTTTCACATGTTGCATTGGTGAAAAATTAGTTGCCAATGACTGGTGATCTTACGGGACAGTCGGGTGGATAACACGAGAGTATATAATTTCTTTTACTTAAATAAAAATTAAATAGTAATCCAATAATTTATAAATACTGGTGATCTTATGGGACAGTCGGGTGGATAACACGAGAGTATATAATTTCTTTTACTTAAATAAAAATTCAATAGTAATCCAATAATTTATAAATAAACAATTTAAGCAGAAATGATATAAAACATTAGAAATTAATAAAGTCAAGTTCTAAAGTAATATAATATAAAATTAGAGTAGAAAATTTTTTCCATAACTTACTTTAGCCTTAAATTCTTCTCCAGGCCTTCTCTTCTTAGACTGTGGGCCCAAGGAACGATGAATGCCTTTTTTCACAGCTGTAAACAATTCATTTTGTACAAATTAATTGAAAGATAGGAATTCTAAATTCCATTTGAAAAAATACACATATTAAACAACTGCTTTTTAAAATGAAATAAGTTTTTTAAGTCAAATAAATCATTTTAATGTTTAATACCTATATAGAAATATATGATTTTAATGTTAAATTAAATATACACAGTACATCTACAAAGTTTTGGACTAATTTTTTTTTTTTAAATAAATTTTAGCAAACCTGCTAAACAATAACTGACTGCATTTATTGCTTTAACATTTAAATCTGCTTTTCCTAATACTATGTCTGCTTACAGACAGAATATTCCATTCCATTTTCATAGTCATTTGCTTTGATCCATACAGCATCTATTGTCATAGATATAAAAGCTGAATAAATAAGCAGAAATTCTAATAAAACAGCGATGGAGAACATAGAATGTTATGTAAAAAAAGTATGTTGGGAACATGCTTTCTTCATCTTCCTCAGAACCCCCTACTTACACTTTTTATTTCTTTTTTATGAATAAAACATGAGGTACTTAAAAGGAGTTTTTGTGTTTTTTAACTATTTATTTCAACACCAATTTATTCTACATTCACACCTTAGTAGCCAGAATATTTTCAAATTTGGGAAGATGTAAAATTAACCTTCTAGCACGTGCGCATGGCAATTTTACAGGAGCACGTGCGTGTCGTATTTTTTACGACATCCGTTATTTTACCGTTTTTGGTATGAAAAACGACACAAATGAAAGAATAAATTTGTTAAGAAATAAAATATTAATCTTATTATTACAAAATACAAATGATATCACATTCAAATATAATTATTTTTTTAAGTTCTTATGTTAGTGAGATAGAAATGCAATGATGTACATCATTATAGAAAATTTTAAATTTATAATTAATAATTATATTTTAAAATCAAAGCTAATTTTAATATTCATCAAAGGCAAGTATAGACAATAAAAAAGGAAAACACCTCGGTAGGAAAAAAGTAAGTTTAGCATTACTTACTTCTGCAAGGAAATTTACACATTACTGGTTACAAAAACGCACTTTAAAATAATTTTAATATTTTTATTAATTTCTAAAAAATAGAAATAAAAAAAAATAAGGAATGGAAATCTCTATTGTTCTCCCATCCAAAGGTTTCCATGTCTTCCTTTTCTTCATCAGGTATTCTTAAAGAATGTGAGCAAAATCAGCTGGTTGCACATATTTTTTTGCCATGAAAACCGATATAAAATTTACAGAGCTAAGTGTATTCAAATTAAAATAATACACAGCAATTAATAACACAAAATTACAAAATATTTGAGGAAAAAATATTTTTCGAATTTTCCCCACGACCAGGCGCGTGTCGTAACTTTTACGAAAAAACTGCCACATAGCACAAAAGCCCAGTTAAAAAAAATCAGATGACTTCCTGTTGGCACATTCCATTATGTGGGGAACGGTAGAAAGGACGCCTCAGCTTTGATATGCGAAAAATGTGCATTAAAAGCTGCATTTGTCGGCAATTTTGCGCATACGCATGAGCTGGAAGGTTAAGCAAATAAGAAATTTGAAAATGCTTTATAAAGCACAAACAGGACTGGGATAAAAATCAAACAAAAACAGTTGCCAAACAATGTGATTTAGAGCTAGTAATAGATAAGCATGATATACTAATCCTTTGGCTTTATGTAAACAAATAGTTAATATAGTAATGGTCCATAAATAGGTTTAATAAAAAAAAAACAATATAAGTTAACTGCTGTTTATCTGTTTTTCAATACATTTTCAAAAAATAATTAAAATTTTGGACTTGTTTTCAACGGGAAAGCACATAGTACAGTATTTTTAAATTTATTGAAACTTCGCATCAAGAAAAGAGCAACTTATGTGAAAATGGACAAACACTGGTTGTGCAATGCGAAAAGGTTTGACAGGTAATTTAGTAAGTTTTTTTTTTATATATATATTATGCCTGTAACTTGCATTATGTTGATTAAGAAAGAGCATAAAGAGCAATCTGTTCTTTTAAACTTGTGCTGGAATGACTGGTGTAAGTTTGGTGAGTTCTCTGCAAATTTTCATAGTGTACTGAATTTCGTACTCAAATGTGATGTTTTACACACATGTTACACGCTTGGAATACTCTTCCTTCTATAGAAATCTTACATAATTCATATGTAGACACTTAATATTCAAGTTAATAACAAATAAAATTACTCTTTTTCATAATTTTAGAATGGAAATTTTTTCTTCCATTCTTTTGGATTTTCTACTATCCAGAATGCTCAACTATCCAGAATTTTTACATATCTGGAATTTGGCATATCCCGAGCTTTTACTGTACTTCACAGAATTTTTTAGGAGAAAAATGTTTAACATATTAAGCAACAAATTTTGTATTGCCATGGTTTTATACAACAATCATTTCAATAAAGTTCAGCTTATTTTCATTGTGTTCTTAACACAATCTCTGTTTTGCGTTTCCTTTCTTTTTTAACACATCTTGTCAATAATTCTGCTGAATAAAAGGAATACAGTAATTCAATAATACAATTCAAATTTTTAATAAACCAAGTATTTTTGTCGTATTTCCTAACTTTTGTATGATTTATTTGAAAGACAATCATGCATAACTGCTTTCTTCATAGTAACGTTAAAAAAAAAAAAAAAAAAAAAAAAAAAAAAAAATTTTGAATTTTGTATTATGAGAATAAATATATAAAAAAAAAAAGCTTGTACTACAAACCATTAAAAAAATAAAGATTATCTAATCAAACTGAGATTAGTGAAACTGCAAAATGATTGTCAGTCAGTGTTTGAGTGTGTCCGCAAACGCACACCATGCAATCAAGAAGTTACAGGAGCTTCTACCAGTGGTAGAAAAGTGGTGCACAACTTGGAGGATTGCTATTAATGCCAGGAAGTCGCAATTATTAAAGATAAGGGGGGAAAATACACAGTTGACTATTAATAGCAAGCTCTTCCTATTCTCTGAAGAGATTCCTAGAGTTAGTAAGGCAAAATATTTAGGAGTAATGCTAAATGAAAGATTAAAATGGGGAGATCATATAACAGAGGTCAGAAGAAAAATTTTCACTGTCATAAATAGTCTCATCCCTATATTGGGTAATTATTCTAGCTTAGACCTCAGGAAAAAAAGGCTAATGTATACACGGCAATTCGGCCATTGATGACTTGCGCGTCGCCGGCCTGGTGCCAAAGAGGATATAAAACCTACCAAAGAGGATATAAAAAGACTTCAAATCATGCAAAACAAAGTCTTAAGGCTTAATCACCACCTGAATAAGATCAACAAGATATTCTTCACGAAAGCTCTGAACTGTGACCATATGAGAAATTTTGATATCTTTACCTATGAAATATTGAATGAGGACGCCAAACTGCGCCCACTTGCGGCCCAGCTTATCAGGGACCCGAACTTTCCCACCTAGTGGCCATCTGTAAATAATGTACCTAATGTGTTTATTAGCATTCTTAATTTTGTGTCTTACTCATTTATTGTACTGAGATTTCTTAAATTCACTAGTTTTATTCATATTCTACACTCTTTTTATAACTCCCACTTAGTCACGCCTTTACCAGGCCGGTTACTTGCTAGTGAGCTCTTGCATTGCTGGTCTTCCTATTCTTTATCCGTCTTTGCTTCTCCTTACGGCAGACATTATGTGAAGATAGTTCTATGTATTGTGCCCATCTGGCATAAATTTGATTGAGCCAGATAAACTACTGATCTCAGTGGTATTCTGGCTATAAGTTATCAGTCAGTCAGTCTGCAAAATGATATGTTTATCTATGATATGAGATACGAATTTTTGAGAAAATTTCTTTATATTCTAGGAAATAATAATAGTAAAAGGTGAAAGTTTTGTTTTTTAACCACACAATTAGGCAATTATGCTTAATTATTTCATTTCAAAATTTAATCATGTAACGAATACATTACCTTTCATTTCTGAAATGATTTCATCATCATCTTCAAAATCTTCTTCAAGCTTTCTTTTATTTTTCTTCTGGAAGGGAAAAAGAAAATAATAAAGAGAAAAAAATAATTCAGCAAAATTTTTGGAAATGGACTCAATAATGTTATTTGTTATTCACTGCTCAAAACAATTAGGGGACATTGTAAGTTCAATATGAAATAACCATACACTCGACAACTTTTTTAGCAAAAGCAATTCTTTTTTAAATAGAAGAAGTTAAAAAGGAAAATTATAATGCATTTTAGATAAGGAGTGAACAGCCAGCGGCATGCCACATTCCTTCTGTAGGAGGTGATTAAAAACAACTGACATGCATCGAATGTTTTGTAACAGTGAATATGATGTGTCAGCAAGACGATTTACTGAATCTGTAGCCAGGAGGGCCATCCGTCACTTAGAGACGAGTCAAATGAAATCCACTGTAGCAGAAGTTTTAGGAAGAGTGATAGTTTTGGCCAATATTTCTATCAATCGCTGCACTGACCTGCATGTTATCAAGAATGGAGCACTAATGGCTGAGCGATACAGGGATGAGATCCTCAGACCTATTGTGTTCCTTTAAGCTACAGCAGACGGGCCGGGGGGGGGAGGTAAATTAACTCTCATGGATGATAACGCCAGGGCATATTGTACTCAGCTAGTGAAGAATTTCCTTTTTCATGAAGGAATGATGGATTAGATAGCATGTTTCTCAGATATGAACCCAATAGAACATGTCTGAGACATTCTAGGGAGAAGGGTTGTTAGTCGCTTATCACTCTTGGAAATGGTTCAGCAATTTGAAAGCTTTCTTATACAGGAGTAAGAGAAAATACCCCAGTCCCTCATTTATTCCAAGCCACATTAGGTGAGCAACATTACTTTTGATCAGCGGAAATAATACCCCTTACTGAAACTCATTTGTATCCGACATATCACACTTTTTGTTTATTTATATAATATGCTCAAATTGTGCATTTTTGTTTACCAACAAATATTGTCAATAAAATTAAATTTTTCCTTGTTCGTTGCTTCTTTTTCTTTTCTCATATCTTCCAACACTTATACATAATATATCAGTCACCAAAACATTTCCTCATTCATTGTTTATATCCCAAATCCTAATATCCTCTAACTGTTTTGGGCAGCGTATGTAATGGTTAAGATAAAATATTTAATTAGTAAAACCATATAAGTAAAATACATTACCTTGCGAAATGATTCCAAGTCAGCCAAAACAGAATGATATTCATTTGCTTTATCCTGCTCTAGATATTAAAACAATGAGTATTATAATACATGTGATAAAAATGTTTATGCTTAAATGTTACAATTAAAAATAATTAAGCATTCTTTTTCGTAATATAACTCAAATACCTTGGACGATGGATCAACTTCATTGACTGTTATGTATTTAAAATATCAGTTTAATATTTAATGGAAATTTTGCTTATTAAAAGCAAAATGGGATTTGAGTCATTACATGAGAAAAAGCAACAATACTGGTAAATATAAGGGAAATTTCACTCTTCTCTCTCTCTTTCATTTAAAATGCACACAAATCCTTATCTCTTCCACACATACAAAGTAAAAAAATTCTGATTTCATTTTTTAAACAGAGCAGTTATATACAAGTATCAGCATACATTACACATGATACAAAAATTTTTGCCATATTTTTTCCCTCTTACAGAAGAGATGAAACTAAGCTTGATCATCTTCAAAACATGCAGTTTTACTCAGAATCTGCACCAATTTAAGATTGCTATTTTGCTTAATTTAAAATTTTACTTTGGTATGTTTTTCCCCTATTAGACAGTGTATATTAAATTAAATTTTTTAAATATACTTCAAAATATGTAGAGAGTGTATGAAAGGTTTTTAAGATACTTTCTGATTATCCACACCTTTCTGAAAAGTATTCATGGGACAATATGCCATGCTATCAAATCAGGCCATGAAAGTCATCAAAATGTAATCTTTGGGTCTATTAGTATCATTAACAAAATCTATTTTTAGCATATGGAAAGAAATTTTTTGGTAAATTTTCCCTCGTCAACATTTTTTAGCGCATTTAACTTAAATCTGTAACAGGGAAAAAAAAAAAAAAAATTGTTTAGGCATCGCTACATGAGTCATTACTCAAGTTGTCATGTTTTGATAAACATGCGGTGATGAAAGGAAAGTATAATAAATAATGATTTGCCAAGTTGGCATCAGATCAACGATGTATGCACGTGGAATATTTCGGTTTGAGATCTGTGCCAAGCAGATATGCAGCAATGGAGCCAAATTACTAATTGTAAAAATTTATGCTAAGATGATTGTTTCTTCAATAACAAGGTATTTTATTTAGTGTCAAAGTGAAATTAAGAATCGGGACTCTCCAGATGTTTTATTATGCGCGGAGGGGGGGGATCAAATGCGCATGTGTAAAGCCTATGTGGGGGGAAAAAAAAAAAAAAAAAAAAGAAAAGGTGGTGGTTTTGAAGTCTGAATTTTAGATTATTCCGTATAATGTACTTTGTACTGTATTACTAATCATATCTAGGGTATAGACTACTTAGATATGGTCGATGATCAAGTGGAAAAGATAAGTATGTAAAAAGTTGGATGTAGCAGTGTATGGTGAGTGTTAACAACAGTTACATTCATACTATTTTCAGAAAATCAAGCCTTGACAGATATGAAATTCGCTTTCTGGTTCCAACAGTACAGTGCAGTTCAGTTGAATTTTGCATCATCAACAATGATTGGACTTGATGGTTTTATGCCAGGTCCCCATATTTTCTGATTCATCCTGTCTTTTTAAGAAGCTATCTAAATGGCATGATCTAAGAGACACCCATTTAAGACCAAGGAGCTTGTTGCCAGAATTAGTATTGCTGCTGCAATTGTGCATGAGATGCCTGGTATCTTTCAAAATATATGCAATTTATTTATTTGAAGCTATGAAGCCACTACAAATGATAGTTTTCAGCAAACACTAGAAATGTGCAATTTTAAAGATGTTCTTTGCAATCTGTCGTTACACTATTTAAGACTCAACATTTCACTTTCACCTACACTTTCTGTGACAGCAAATATTCGTCTTAGTATGGTATACTAGTTAAAATTCTGATTTTTTTTTTAAACATCCTGCACTTGATTAGAAAGTAGATATTAACATTCATTTCTGCATATCTTTTATGGGAATAAATCTTTCACGATTTATTGAAGGCTTAAGTTATTTTTGCAATAAAAGATATATAAAAACTAATGGAAACCTATATATGTAACAAATATAATCATTAAATTAAACAATATTAAAAAGCAAATTTTTTTCTAAAAATACATAAAAATTACACCAAGTATTTCTAAAACTTTTAGATCTAAAGTTTTAGAAATACTTGGTCTAACATACATAAAAACATTCAAATGATTTTTTTTTTTTTCATGGAACAAAAATAACCAATAAATCAACAATACATGTCAAACACACATCTTATACTTAACGACTAAAATGATTAAGGACTTACTTTCAGATTTATCATCTTCTTCTTGTATTATAATACGACCATCTTTTGACAGTGGAAAGCTGTCAGTCTTTTTACTTTTCACTTTTCTTTCAGGTTTCATTGCTACATCAGATAAAAGTTCCAATAAAAATACAGTTAGAATAAAGGTACGAAACAAATGTCTATAAATATTATACTACTAGCGGAAGTACCCAATGGCAGCTAAGTTAGATTGAGAGTAGTGCATCTAACAACAGAGGGAACGTTACTGCTATAATACCTCTCTAATAATGATGAAAAAAATATGATTCATAGTCATACAATTTTCAGTCTGATGCAATATGGAATCCACATAATAAATTTCAGAAGAAAAATAAACTAATTCTTTCTCATTATATCAGATACAATGGCATGCATGTTTTAATGGTTTTCGTCTTTCTAGTCAAAATTTCGTCGAAGTTCAAGTTCCTTCCAATATTTCACTTATATTCAATTTAAGTTGATTAATTGTGGAAGAAAAATTTAACATAATTAATCAGAAATCAATAACATAAAGAAACACACAAACAGACATTCTTTCTTATATATATAGATTTTGTAAAAATTACAAAATTTTTATTAAAAAACTCTACGATTTGAAAGCGAGCAGTAGCACACAGCATTAGTTGTCCTGACTCAGATATATCATTGCCAAAGCCATTATGAAGTAAAGAAATGACACAACCACCCTTAATATCAATAAATAATTTGCATTATCTGTCCATATTTCACATAAGGCTGTTTATGAGTTCTGGGAATAAAATAACTTATGCCCCTGTAAACATTGATTTAACCAAAGGATATTATTTACAGTTGGCATGGACGAATAAAATGACATCTGTTCAGGATATACCAATTATTTATTCTACATTTACAGTACTTAACATCCTAGTTTTCTCTAATTATTTATATATCCTAATGAAAAATACATAGTAAATTATATAATGATCATTCATTCATTTCAGTGGAGCGGTGTTTGTGACACCAGGGTGCCTAGGCCCCTCATAGAATATTTTAATTGCTACGAAATATAATGGAAAATAACCATGCAATTAAGTACATAATTTTTTAAATTTAATATAAATCTTATTATTATGATTATAATTATTAATATTAATAAGTATGAAGAAGTAAGCTGTTTAGCAGGATCAGTCACAGAAGCCGTCGAACTGGTGATAATACATATGGATACATGGTAAGTGTACAATTTTTAATAATCTGAATCCATAATTCATTAAATGATATACAAAGTAAGAATATACACATACAACAGTACAAATAAACTAAAATAAAATGTAAATGTACACACACATGATACCAGATAAAAACGAAAATGAAAGATGAGGTTACAAAACAGCAGATGTTACATAATAGTTATGTTAAGCTGGGCAAGCGACCTATCCGTATTATTTAGGTCATTATAATTATAATTTCAGATTTTAATACTACTATTATAATTAAGATTCTGTTTTTCATGAAAGCTTTTTGCTAGCAGGGGTGTTTGTGGGATCCCCAAAAAATCCCCTGAAACTTTTACGGACTTACTTACCGACATTTTGGAGTTTTGAGAAGGGGGGGGAGAGAAATGAAAAATTACAATTATGAAGTATTGAATGACCTAATTATAAAAGTTCAATGAATTACTTTTTTTGCAAAATTAATAACCATAAATTTTCAAACATATAAACTACTACATTTTATGTAAATATTTTAAATTACCTGAATTAATTCTTTAAAAAAAATTATCTAATTTCTGCTGCTTTTTTTTTATTTTCTGATGTTTGTGGGTTTGTCTTTCTTTTGTGGTGAACTTCATAATTGCAGGAAGGTTGACTTTTATTTTCCACATTTACAGTTGAAGAAATTTCCTCGACAACTGCACATGCAGAGGTAGAAGCAGTTTGCTTTTCTGCTAATGTAGAAGGTTTTTCAGAGACTTTTATAGGTGACACATCTGAAATACATGTTTTTAAGTCCTCTTGATATGTTTTCCAACTTCTGTTCATATTCAGTAAGAGATCTTTGTGAATTAGATCAGTCATTGGATTTTTTGAGCCATATTTTTCACACGAGGTTTCTTTAGAAGCCATTAAATCATATTTAATAGTCTGCACTGCATCTAGGGAATCAATCTTAAGAGAGGTTCTATAGTCAGTGACAAGTGTATCCATTAAGTTGAATGCACTTTCCACTAATGGGCCATAGAAGCAGGTAAGGCAGGCTTTGACCAATTTAGCCAATGTAGGATACTGATAATCATTTGTGAAATCATCTTTTAAATTAAAAACTTTAGACCAATATTTATCAATTGTACACTTGACTTGATTTCCACTTTCATCAGATGTGTAGAGCATTTCTTTGGTGATATCAATATCACTCTGGTATAACCTTATTTCAGCTTCTACTTTTGACTTTTCATTATCACTAAAAATATGGGACATAAAAGATGATAATTTTTCAAAAGCTAATATTGTACTGGTCTTAGCTCTGGATCTAATGCTGTAAAACTAATTAGATATGAATTTTTAAGGGGTAATTTCTGTTTCATATGCTGTGCTGTATTAGTATAAGCTTTCATCAGAGAAATTTGGAATTCTTTTGCTATTGGATGATTTTTTGATAATTTCTTCAGGAGAGTGGAAGATTCTGCACCAGTAAATATTACTTTGCTAGGTAGAAGGAATTCTGGATTTGTGACATCAACCTTTAATAAATCGTTATAAGATGTGCACTCTATATTTTCTGGCTTCATAAAAAAAAAGAGAAAAATTTTGCCATCAATTGATAAATACTGGAATGTATTAAATGAAGCATTGGTTTTTTTTTTTTTGTTTCAAATAATTTAATATATGTGTTGAACTCTGGTAATACTGCTGAATATAATGCCATATGCAATAAAGTTTTGTTTTGCATAACAAATAACCCATTTAGTATTCTTTTTTTCCGAGCTAAAGCATCCTTTGTGAGTTGTTGGGAATGCAAGCAAGAATACACCCCTTCAACAATTTTTTTCTGAGCTGCAGAAATATTTCTTTTATTGTATACAGTTTCAACATAAGAAAAATAATCCCCTTTATCAGCTTTATCCAAGTAGTGAAAATAAAATGCAATAAGAGCATCCCACAGATCTTTGATTCTTTCTAAAACACATAAAATATACACCCACCTATGGTCCGGTCTCTTCAAGGGCTTAAGTTTTTTAATGGCAAGGAATTCACAGATTTTGAAAAAATTTTTTCTTTTACTGTAGCTTTTCATATCAAAATAAATGTCATCAAACAAATCTTCTAAGTATCTATCAAAACATGAAGCAAATTTTTTTGCACAGTTATTAACTGTGTGACATGTGTCACCATCAATATCTAATAAGTGGGGTGCTTTGTTTGATCGTAGTCTGGTTTCAACACCCTTTTTTTTCCACGCATGGTGTTACATGAGTCCATTAATACACTAATTAAGTTTGCCCATGGAATATTATTATCTTCAATAGTATTAACAACTGCTTTAAAAACAGCTTCTGAATTCCAAGATTTCATCTTTAGAGATGCAAAATGATGAACTACAACTTCATTTTGATTGTTGTCATAAAACTGCACCAATATTGCCAGTATACTTTCTTGAGCATTGCTAGTACTTTCATCCAAATTTAGAGAAAATGGAGTCTCCTTTAAAGTTTTAGTGATATTTTCCTTAATAGTTTTTGCGAGCCCATATTTCATCTTATAACATGCAGTAGTCCTGGACATTTCCAACGAGTTTAGAGCTATCTGATCGCGGCTCAACTGTTTGCAGAGTTCAATTAAATTGGGAGCTACATTGAAAGAAAGAGAATTCTCGGCGATAAACGAAGTTATTAATACCTCTTGGCATGCTTTTCTTGTCACTATATCCAATGGCCGAGCATCAGTCTCCAGTAAGTCATCAGTACTTTTAATTAGCATAATTACTTAAAGTCATTGAATGTTTAATGCACTTTGAATATTTTATGTGCGTCACAGTTTTAGAATGATTTGTGAAAGCCTTGAATCCTTCCCCACCATACTTCAGCAGTGAGTTACAAAAAACACAATATGCTTGTCCAGCAACATTTATTTTCTTGCACCATGTGCCGATGGTATCCCTATTACCATCTCTCTGTTCAATCCAATTCCACCTAAATGCATTCCGGCCACCTTCTTCTAATTGTATAATATCACTATTCATATCGAGAAATTTCATAGTGAAATTCTCTTGCGTACATAAATAAAAAAATATTTCAATAAACGAAAGGAAAAATTTACACGTGCATCAATAAATGAAACGAAAATTTTAGACAGCGGAGAAAAAAAAGTTGAGAAGCGATCAATGCCAAATAGCTAATACGGCGAAAAATCCCCCTTCTCTAATTATTGGCGCCACGCCAGGAGAGATAAGACCTTTGAACCCAGAGTCACGTGATCGCACATCTGGTCAAAGGAAGTCTCTCCCTTTTTTTTCTGCAGCGCCTACTTGCCGAAAAATAATCCAGAAGAGAATGTCCGAGAAACCGGGGGAATGAGTCATAACTCGCAATAAGGAAAGAACAAAAAAGAAGTTTTTTCCCCCTTTTCACGCATTATCACTGCCTTTGGAGAAAGAAAGGAAAAATTTTCACCACACACACTGACCTTGCGTTTTCTGCTTTCAAAGCAAACAAAATTACCCCAGATCAAAATAAATAATTCATTATTATTCCTACTTCCTTTTGAATGACGATCCGCGGAATTTCCGGGTATCAAAGTTCAAAATCCCCGGAATTCCGGGGTTTCCCCGGAGCACAATCACCCCCGTGCTAGTTTATAATAATGGGATTTCAATTGCTCCATGCCCAGTTCTTCATGGATCCTGTTTTTTCTAATATACCAGGTGGCATTAGTTATCTGTCTGAGTACAGAATTTTGACAAGTTTGCAGTTTTTTCCTGTTGGTTTTGCGAGTATGTGCCCAGACTGGGCTTGAGTAGCATAACAATGGTCTGAGAATGGACTAGTAAATAAGTAACTTATTATCTATAGATAATACACTGTTTTGAGCAATTAAGGGGTAGAGTTGGGACTTATGAACTCG